AAGGCAGGAGCGGTCAGCACACCCCACTGGACTGGCACATCCCTCTGTCTCATAGAGTGTCTGTCCCCTCATGACTCTCCTCAGGGGCAGGCTCTCATCTAAGGGGGTCCGCCCGGGTCCTTCTCTCAGTGCAGGGCTCACTGCCCATTCAGCAGAGAGTGGACACCAGGCTCCCTTGTTTGAGGAGGAAGGGGAGTCTAGGGCAGGCTGGGTGGGAGTGCCAGTGGACCCCGGACACCGTGTCTCCCTGCACGTTCCTCCTCGGTCCCTGGTCCACGCCCTCTGGTTTCCCCCACGGGGCTGGAGTGATGGCCTCTCCCCCTCCCCACCCCAGGAGAGCATGCAGGCTTATGTCACCAACGTCTACAACTCCGTGGTGGAGGAGCTGACCCTTGAGAAGAAGCGCAGGTTCATCGCTGTGGAGCAGGAGTATTTCCGGCTCTGGTGGGATGGCGTCGCCTCGGACAGGCAGAAAGGCCAGGTAACGCTGCGCTCAGGGGGTCCTCACCAGGCAGCTGAGAGCGGATGCCCTGGGGGTCCTGGGGACGACCCTTCAGGAAGCTCCTGGGTTGTGCTCTGTGTGGCCAGGGCGGGGCTGCATAAACCAGGGGGCCCCAACCCAGCTGAGCTGTGCCCAGGGTCCCTTTAGTACAGGTTTGTGGTCAGCCCCATGCCCAGGGGACAGGGTTGTGTTTGATCCTGCCTTGCTGGTTCCTCCTGAATAATTGCAGCTCTGGAAGCCCAGCCAGGCATTCAGCTGGTGAGAATGAGGTCCCCTCTGACACTGGGCAATCTGGGGTGACCTGTGTCCACACCTTCTGACTTCATTTGTTGATCTGCGTGGACCCATGGGCCCCAGAGCCCAGGACCAGCCAGGGTGCAGGAGGCCCTGTGGATTAAGCTCCAGGGCTGATTAACTCCATGTCCTGGGGGTCAGAGGCCCTGGTCCAAGGAGGGGCAGCCTGGGGCCAGGGCCTCCCCTCGGTCCCCGTGTGATCACAGGTGGGGCTGGCTCTTCAGCTGCAGGTCCCACATCTGGAAGCAGGAGTGGCCTCCCTCCTCAGAGAGGCTGTGCCCAGAATGTGCCCACGGTGTGAGCACCTAGGGTGCCTCTGGGGCGTGGTCCCCTCCAGGCATCACCTGCCCTCAGAACAGTCGCCAATGGTGAAACTCAGAGGCTCAGCCACCTGCTCAAGGCAGAGAGCTCAGACGGTGAAGCTGGGTGTCCCCCAGGCCCCAGAGGGGATGCGAACCTGCAGTCTGTGGAGCCGAGAGGACGAGCCTCCCATCTGATGGGCTCTGCCGCGAGCCGGGTGCTGGGCTCAGGTCTGTACAGGTTACTCTACTGATTCCTCCCACAACCTGCACGGTGAGGACACTGATCCTACTGCACAGAGCTGGTCCGGGTTCAGAGAGGGCAGGCAGCTGGCTCAAGGTCACACAGCTTATAGCTGACAGCTGGGTTCTGGGTCAGTACTGTGAATCAAAGCACAGCTCTCTGGGTGTCCACTGGGCAGTTCTTCCTTCTTTACATGGACATCCCCAGACCCAAGTCACTTAATCCTGCTCCTACAGTAAAGTGTCTGCTGGCTAAGACCTAGCCAGGAAATTCAGTTATGTGTCCCTGGAAATTAGCAATTATCTCTGAGTTGTTTGGACTGAATCCCAGTGTCTGAATGGTGCCCATAATAAAGCAAGTACAGATTTAAAACAGTACATGGTAGGTGTCATTCCACATTTCTCAAATGAATGATCTGCAAAGACAGTACTTTCAGATCAAATCAAAACCACAGTCTCCCAGGAGCATGATGTGCTCAGTGTCACAGCCCTTGACTGTACGTATGTTTCCATTTTTCCCTTCTTTCATGGATATATTTTATCGTCCACACCATGAGGTTTGCGGGATCTTAGTCCCCCAGTGAAAGTGAAGGTGAAAATCGCTCAGTCGTGTCCCACTCTTTGTGACCCCATGAACTGCAGCCTGCCAGTCTTCTCTGTCCATGGAATTCTCCAGGAAAGAATACTGGTTTGGGTAGCCTTTCACTTCCCTAGCGGATCCTCCTGACCCAGGGATCAAACCCGGGTCTCCTGCGCTGCAGGCAGATTCTCTACCATCTGAGCCACCAGGGAAGCCCAGGAAATAATCAAGGTCACGTCCTCGGCACTGAAAGTGTGACCTACGTTCTGGACCTCCAGGCAATGCTTTTCATGGGTGTACTTCAAAATATTTGTTAGCCAATCATGTGACAAATACAATCTGAAGACCACTGTACAAAATAAGTAGCCTGAAATCCTCAAAATTGTAAATCTTCTGAAGGCAAAGAATGGCTCAAGGAGTACTATAAATTAAAGAATGAAAAAGAGAGCTGATCCTAAAAGCAAATCATGAACCTAGATTGAATCTCACATCAGAGAAAGGCCATTAGTGGAACAAGTGGCAAAATTTGAGCAAAGTTTCTTAATTCGATAGGAAGCTTATGAATAGGGATTCCCATGTGGCTCAGTGGTATACAACCTGCCTGCCAATGAAAGAGACACAAGAGATGTGGGTTCGATCCCTGGGGTGGTAAGATCCCTTGGAGAAGGAAATGCCAATCAACTCCAGTATTCTTGCCCAGAACGTTCGATGGATAGAGGGGCCTGATGGGCTACAGTCCACAGGACTGCAAAGAGTCGGACACGACCGTGTGACTGAGCACACATACACATATTATTAATGTGAAATATCCTGGGTTTTGACCATTACATAGCAATTGTCATCTTTTGTTCTTATCAAAAGCATACTGAAGTATTCAGATAAAGGCATGCTGTTGCTAACTTGTACTTTCAAAAGGCTTAGGAAAAACATAATATGTGTGATGACATGTGGGAGTGTCTAGGGAAATAGATAAAAAACACTAGCAATTACATAATCTGGAGAAAGATTTATGGGAGTTCTGGGTACATTTTCCACAAGTTTCCCATAATTTTGGCATCATTCAAAAGCAAAAGGTGTGGACATATGTACCTGTATGTACATCTGATGAAGCAGCAGGCATGGCCAGGTCCTGTTCTCAGAGATGGACACAGTGCCGACCAAGACAGACAGCGTCCTGCTATTTGCAGAAGAAATGAGGCTGAGGAGTTTGAAGGAAGGACCATGAGATGCTATAGGCATGTGCCAAGAAAACACAACTGGCTCAGCCCAAGGGATGTAACCTGGTCTCTTCTCTCTGCCCACCATGCCAAGGTCCACCAGCTTGTGGCCGAAGGTCGCCTGGAGTTTGTCCTCGGAGGCCAGGTCATGCACGATGAGGCCGTGACCCACTTTGATGACCAGATCCTCCAGCTCACAGGTTCGATTACCCTTCCCCAGACCAGGGTCCCTGGGGCCTCCATGGGGCTGGGACTGGGTGTCTGAGCCCTCGTCCTGGGCTCCATCTTCCCCTCTCAGCAGGAGACTGACCAGTCAACACTGTGATTGCCGGTACTGCGTCCATGTCTGTGCCTGAGTGCAGGGGATAAGGGTGTGGATTCTAGACCAGCCGGCCTGGCTGTCTCCTGACTCTGCTCCTTCCCAGCCCTGTGACCCTGGGCGAGTGATGCAACCTCATTAGGCCTCAGTTCCCTCCTCTGGAAAAATATTTGACAGTGATGCAGATCTACCTCAAAGCGGTGTTATGAGATTAAACTGGGATAATTCCAACAGAGTGCACTGAGTAGAATTTGAATTGTTGTTCAGTCTCTCAGTTGTGTCTGACTCTTTGTGACCGCACGGACCGTAGTATACACCAGGTTTCCCTGTCCTTGACCATCTCCCAGAGTTGCCTCAAGCTCATTGAGTCCATTGAGTCTTTGATGCCATCCAACCATCTCGTCTTCTGTCGCCCCCTTCTCTTCCTGCCCTCAGTCTTTCCCAGCATCAGGATCTTCTCCAATGAGTCAGCTCTTCATATCTGGTGACCAAAGTATTGGAGCTTCAGCTTCAGCATCAGTCCTTCCAACGAATATTTGGGGTTGATTTCCTTTAGGATTGACTAATTTGATCTTGCTTTCCAAGATTTTCAAGAGTCTTCTCCAGCACCACGATTTGTAAGTGTCAGTTCTTTGACACTGGGCCTTCTTTATGCTCCAGGTCTCACATCTGTATGTGACTACTGGTAAAACCATAGCTTTGACTATGTGGCACTTTGATGACAAAGTGATGTTTCTGCTTTTTAATACAATGTCCAAGTTTGCCATAGTTTTCTTTCAAGAGAGGGGCTTTAAGTTTTATTATATAAGCTCCCCAGCCTGCAAAATGCAGCCTCAGGCCTCACTTTCTGACCGCCTGTTCCTTCTGCCTCCTGCTTCCCTTGACCTGCTCCCATAACAGAGCCTCCTGTGCCTTCAGAACAAGGTCTCCTGTTGCTTCCACCCAGACTCAGCTGAGGAGTCTCATGGTTCAGGCAGTCTCCACTGGGGCCACAATACTTGAGCACCTCCCGTCTTCACCATGAACTACAGATTGCTTCCACAGTGATCAGTGTCTGATTCTTCTCTGGGTCCCCAGGACTTAATCCAGGGCTGATGAGGGCTGGTGGGCACAGAGGGAGGGAGTAAGCACTGACCCGGCCTCCTCCAGGTGTCCACAGCAGAGGCATCCCTCACCTCTGGTCTTAGCCCACGATGCCCACTGTCCTGAACACCCCAGAGCTGACCCTGCTGGCCTAACCACAGCAGCCAGACTCCAGGCAAAGACAGGTTCCCATCATGGGGATAGGAAGGGCTGTGGACCCCTGGATATTTGACACTGGGCCTTCTTTATGCTCCAGGTCTCACATCTGTATGTGACTACTGGTAAAACCATAGCTTTGACTATGTGGCACTTTGATGACAAAGTGATGTTTCTGCTTTTTAATACAATGTCCAAGTTTGCCATAGTTTTCTTTCAAGAGAGGGGCTTTAAGTTTTATTATATAAGCTCCCCAGCCTGCAAAATGCAGCCTCAGGCCTCACTTTCTGACCGCCTGTTCCTTCTGCCTCCTGCTTCCCTTGACCTGCTCCCATAACAGAGCCTCCTGTGCCTTCAGAACAAGGTCTCCTGTTGCTTCCACCCAGACTCAGCTGAGGAGTCTCATGGTCCAGGCAGTCTCCACTGGGGCCACAATACTCGAGCACCTCCCGTCTTCACCATGAACTACAGATTGCTTCCACAGTGATCAGTGTCTGATTCTTCTCTGGGTCCCCAGGACTTAATCCAGGGCTTATGAGGGCTGGTGGGCACAGAGGGAGGGAGTAAGCACTGACCCGGCCTCCTCCAGGTGTCCACAGCAGAGGCATCCCTCACCTCTGGTCTTAACCCACGATGCCCACTGTCCTGAACACCCCAGAGCTGACCCTGCTGGCCTAACCACAGCAGCCAGACTCCAGGCAAAGACAGGTTCCCATCATGGGGATAGGAAGGGCTGTGGACCCCTGGATGCTCCCCAGGGGATTCTCTGGGGCTCCGTTTCCAACACCAGCCAGGCTGCCAGGACCCTAGATGATGGGTCTGACTTCATCTTATGATGACCTCCTGTCCTAAGAACAAGGCATTCACTTAATCCCTTCAGTCCTTCACTCCAAGAGGCAGTCCTAGAGATGAGGGGTCTTACAAACTCCCGCTCACTGAGGTCCAATTTGAGGCTCAAAAGTTGCTGAATCTTACCCGAGTCCTGCTGCCAGCAGGTGAGGGTCTCATTCTGAACAAGCCTGGTTCAGTCAGCAAGGTGCTTGAGAGCTCAGCCCCTCTCCCAGGGGGATGAACCAAGTGCTTGCCCATCTGTTTTCTCCTGGGGGCCTCTGAACAGCCTGGTGGCAGCTAGTGTTGTTCACAGCCCAGTTCTCAAGATGAGGAAACTGAGGCACAGAGAGATGCAAGGATGTCCATGCAGCCAGCAGTCAAACCGGACTCCAGCCAGGTCCATCTGGCCCTGTCTGTCTGTAACTTGTGCCCCCAGACGTGGGTGTGTGTGTGTGTAGGGGGCCGGGGTGTACATCTTACTTTCAGTGGGGTCTTCTCAAACCATCATCCCTGATTTCCTGGACCACCACTTGTGGTTGTGTCCAGTGTTTAGTGTTTCTCTGATGTGTTGGGCGGGTCATGCTGGACCACACCTCACTGGTCCTGGATCCATTCCCTCCTCTTCACCTTTGTTGAGCCCCTGCTGAGTGTCAGGCCCCTGGGGAGGAAGAATGAAGCAAGGAGGTCACCCTGGGCTCAGGTCTAAGGTCAAGATGATTTCCCAGGTAGGGGTCAGAATGGGCAGAATCTTGTTGGGAGAGGACAGGCCTCTGACCTTCTGCTGCTGTAGCACGGCTTCTCAGGCGTGTCTTTTTAAAAAAAATTTATTTAATTTTAATCGGAGGTTAATTGATTTATAATATTGTGTTGGTTTCTGCCTTATGTCAACATTAATCAGTATAGATGGTGATTGCAGCCATGAATGCTTAAAAGATGCTTACTCCTTGGAAGGAAAGTTATGACCAACCTAGACAGCATATTAAAAAGCAGAGACATTACTTTACCAACAAAGGTCCATCTAGTCAAGGCTATGATTTTTCCAGTGGTCATGTATGGATGTGAGAGTTGGACTATAAAGAAAGCTGAGTGCCGAAGAATTGATGCTTTCGAACTGTGGTGTTGGAGAAGACTCTGAAGAGTCCCTTGGGCTGCAAGGAGATCCAACCAGTCCATCCTAAAGGAGATCAGTCCTGGGTGTTCATTGGAAGGACTGATGCTGAAGCTGAAACTCCAATACTTTGGCCACCTCATGTGAAGAGTTAACTCATTGGAAAAGACCCTGATGCTGGGAGGGACTGGGGGCAGGAGGAGAAGGGGACGACAGAGGATAAGATGGTTGGATGGCATCACCAACTCGATGGACATGAGTTTGAGTAAACTCCAGGAGCTGGTGATGGACAGGGAGGCCTGGTGTGCTGCGATTCATGGGGTCGCAAAGAGTCGGACACGACTGAGTGACTGAATTGAACTGAACTGACTGAATCAGTATACATATGTCTGGTCCCTCTTGAAACTCCCTCTCAGCCACCCCCGCCCTCCTCATCCCACCTCTCTAGGTTGTCACAGAACACTGAATTTGAGCTCCCTGTATCATATAGCAAATTTCCACTGGCCATCTAATTTTACACATGATGATGTACAGGTTTCAATGCTGTTCTCTCAATTCATCCCGCCTTCTCCTTCCCCCGCTGTACTCACGGGTGTGTTCTCTTTGTCCATGTCTCCACTGCTGCTCTGGAAACAGGCTCAGTGGTACCATCTTCCTAGATGCCACATATATGTGTGTTAATATACGATATTTGATTTTCTCTTTCTGACTTACTTCACTCTGTATGATAGGCTCTAGGTTCATCCACCTCATCAGAACTGACTCAAAAGCAGTTTCTATGACTGAGTAATAGTCCACTGTATGTGTGTACCACAGCGTCTTTATCCTTTCATCTGTTGACAGACATCTAGGTTGCTTACATGTCCCACTCACTGTAAATGGTGCGGCAGTGACAACTGGGGTACACGTGTCTCTGTATTTCTCACTTTTTTCCCTGATGAGTCTCTCTGATGGATGGTCAGTTTTGTCGATCTTCTTAAAGAATCAGTTTTAGTTTTTTTTTTTAATCTTTGTTATTACCACCTTAATTTCTTTTTTAATTTGTTTCTGCTCTGATATTTATGATTTCTTCCCTTCTACTAACTTTGAGTATGTTTTGTTATTCTTTTTCTATTTGCTTTACATGTCAGGTTCAGTTGTTTATTCGATGGTTCTCTTACTTCTTGAGATAGCCTTGTTTTGCTGTAAGCTTCCCTCTTAGCACTGCATTTACTGAAACCCATAGGCTTTGAGTTGTCATGATTTCATTGTCCTTTGCCTCTAGGTATTTTTTTATTTTTCCTTGACTTATTCAGTGATCTCTTAGTTATTCAGAAGTATATTGTTTAGCTTCCATGTGTTTGTGTTTTTTTATAGTTTTTTTCCTGTAATTGATGTCTATTCTTATAGCATGTGGTCAGAAAAGATGTTTGAAGTGATTTCAATTTTTAAACTTTACCATGGTTTGATTTGTTACCGAGGACACGATCTATCTTGTGCATATTCCATGTGCACTTGAGAAAAATGTGTAATCTACTGCTTTTGGATGAAACGATCCAACTGGTCCAATATATCATTTAAAGCTTCTGTTTCCTCGTTAATTTTCTGTCTGGATGACCTGTCCATTGGTGTGAGCAGGGTTTTAAAGTCACCCACTGTTATTGTGTTACTGTGGGTTTCCCCTTTAACAGTTGTGAGCATTTGCCTTATGTATTGAGGTGCTCCTCTGTTGGGTGCGTACCTACTTATAATTGCTGTATCTTCTTCTTGGACTGGTCCCTTGATCATTCTGTGGGATCCTTCACTGTCTCTTGTAACAGGCTTTATTTTAAAGTCTATTTTATCTGATATGAGTACTGATACTCCCACTTTCTTTTGATTTCCATTTGCATGGAGTATCTTTCTCCAGCTTTTCACTTTCAGTCTGTGTGTGTCCCTAGGTCTGAGGTTGGTCTCTTGTAGATAGCATGCACACGGGTCTTGTTTTTGTATCAATTCAGCCAGTCTCTGTCTTTTTGTTGGAACATTTAGTCCATTTACATTTTAGGTAATTATTGATATGTGTGATCCTATTACCATTTACTGTCTTGTTTTGGGTTTCTTTTAGGTCTATTCTTTCTCTTGTGTTTTCTGTCTCAGTTCAGTTCAGTTGCTCAGTCGTGTCCGACTCTTTGTGACCCCATGAACTGCAGCACGCCAGGCCTCCCTGTCCATCACCAACTCCTGGAGTCCACCCAAACCCATGTCCATTGAGTCGGTGATGCCGTCCAACCATCTTATCTTCTGTTTTCTGTCTAGATAAGTTCATTTAGCGTTTGTTGAAAAGCTGCTTTGGTACTGCTGAATTCTGTTAACTTTTGCTTGTCTGGAAAGCTTTTGATTTCTCCTTCAAATTGGAGTGCAGTCCTTGCTGGATAGAGTAATCTTGGTTGCAGGTTCTTTCCTTTAATCTGCAACCTGCAGATTTAAGTCTATCCTGCCACCACCTTCTGGTCTGCAGAGTTTCTGTTGAGAGATGTGCTGTTAGCCTTAGGGGCAACGCCTTGGGCGTTATTTGTTGCTTTCCCCTTGCTGCTTTTAATATTTGCTCTTTGTGTTTAAAGTCTGGCAGATGTGGACGATCTTGCCATGACCTGTGAGACTAGTGATAATTCATCCCTTTAGTCTGGGTCACTGTCCCCTGAATGAAGTAAAGATTCTGAATGTGGAACTGAAGTGAAGTGAAGGTGCTCAGTCGTGTCTGACTCTTTGCGACCTCATGGACTGTATCCCACCAGGCTCCTCTGTCCATGGGATTTTCCAGGCAGAATGTGGAATTGGGGGCCACCAAATCAACACCCATCAGGCCTGCCCTCCTCAGACAAACCATCTGGGGTCAGGGTGTGCTCTGCCCACTTTGCTGACCCCCCATCTCAGAGCCAGCATCCCCAGGGCTTCCCCCTCCTCCCCAGGTGCTCCTTCCTGGTCTCCTCTGTTTCCCACACCGCATCTGCTGCTCCCATTGGCCCCTGAGTTCTCAGAGCCCACCCCAAGTCCAGCCACCTGATGGTCTTCATCACCTCCTCTGCACCAGACCCCAAATCTGCTCCAGGCTCCCCCCAGCCTCCCAGCAGCCACCCACCTCCTGGCTGGGCCTTGTTTGTGGATCTGACCCCATTTCTGCACCAGAACCCTGGAACCTTCTGGGCCAGAGCCAGTGTCCCAGCTCATCAGTGAAGGGACGTTTAACTTGGCACCAGGCACTTGAATTCTCTGAGTCTTTGTTCTCTTATCCTAAAATGCAGACTTAGCACCAGCTCAGAGTATTCAGATGTTATATTTCAGGAGCATCTTTGGGAAGTTTAATCAATGGCCTCTCAAATCTGGGGACTCCTGCAGTCACCTTGATCTCTGCACATAGGGATGGCATGAAAGTCACGAATAAGTAGATGAAGATTTAGGTAATTCTGGGATGGACCATTTGACTTCGTATCTGTTTCAGCAAGAGCCTGCTTGGTCTGGAATAGAATTTCAGCCCTGGAGAAGGGCATGAGGCTTGAGAGAGTGAGTGGGTGAGGGGCCACCATTCAGTCACTGAGGAGATTTATCTCTTTGCAGAAGGACACGGGTTTCTCTATGAAACATTTGGGATTCGACCACAATTCTCCTGGCAGGTGGACCCATTTGGTGCATCCGCCACGACCCCCACCCTCTTTGCCCTAGCAGGCTTCAATGCCCACATCATCTCCAGGATCAACTACAACCTGAAGAAAGTCATGCAGGATAACCAGGTGAGTCATGAGCCGCATCTACTCATCTACTCTCTCACCATCAGAACTGAAAAACACTGCTGCACCTATAATGATCCATAATGAGCTCCCTGTGTCTGGGGGCATTCAAGCTGAGTTAGAGACAGCCTGTCTGGCAGGCCCTGGCAGAGAGTCCTGCCCTGAGGAGGGTCAGACGAAAGTGCAGGCAGGCACCGTCTGGAGGGCCAGTTCCTCCACCAGTGTGGCTTTGGGAGGGCAGGGGGAATCTTGAGGAGGGGGCAGCGAGGGAGATCTTGACCATGAACCACTGAGAGGAGCGGGTGTGGGCGGCTAGGAGACTCGGGTGGGGTCTGGGGAGGGGAGCCGGCATCCGTATCGCCCCTGGGCCTCACTCTGTTCCCTCCGGGTCTGCAGGAGCTGCAGTTCGTGTGGCGAGGGTCCAGATCCCTGTCGGCGCAGCAGGAAATCTTCACACACGTCCTGGACCAGTTTGGCTACTGCTCGTGAGCACCTGCCTCGGGCCAGTCCCCGTCCCAGCACCCTCCCTCGACCAGCTTAGCCACGCCCCTCATGGCCAGCCCTGAGGGCACGCACTGAGCACCCATCTTACAGAAAGAACACCTGAGGCCCAGACACCCAGCCAAGGTCCTGCAGTAGCAGCCGTTGGTCGGCTGCACTGGGCCCTGGTGCAATGACAAGGCCTTCGTGTCCTCAGCCCCGCTGTGGGCTGTCTCGTGGGCAGCCCTGCATCCAGTCCCCTCTGCCCTCTGTGCCTGGGAGGCTGTGGGCAGGGGCTGAGCCCTCGTGAGCAGGGGAGGTGGGATGAAAGGGCAGCTTGGAGAGGAACCTGGGGGGGACTCACTAGCAGGTTGCTGGCATTGGGCTCCACTCTGCACCTGGCAGTATTTCTCAGCTTTTCCACTAGCTGCTTTCACTCAGTCCTCTTAGTGATCTGCATGCATTTTATGATCAGGAGACTGAAGTTCACAGTGTTTCAAAGTGGCCATTCCTGTAGGCTGGTCAACGGGCCCTCCTGTGTGCCTCCTCGCTGCCCAGCATAAATGGGGAGACCCTCACCGGGGGCTGTCCGGAGCCCTGAGGTTCCTTCCTGGGGTCAAAGCCTCCCAAGCTATATTGGAGTCGGAGGATTTTTTACTACTGCTCTATCTTTGTGTAGAATTTTGTGATTCTATTCATCATGATTTTTTTTTTGCATTACCTTTTATTTCAAAAGTGTGAAAATCTCATCATGGTGATACTGAGATTTTTGCAAGCGCAAAGTTTTGTGCCAAGGCAAGTATCTCGCTTGCCTCGTTTTGGTCCCAGCCCTGCTCGGGGTCCTTGGAATAAGATGTGATGGGCCCAGAGGTCACCCAAAGAATGAATGATCACATGAATCGCACCTGATCCATGTGGGGGAATTGGGCCCAGAGGGTGTGTGCTCCACAGAACAGCTGAAAAATCATGGGCCTTTCAGGGTCACGTGCCCAAGATCCTGCAGGGCTGAAATGTGACACCTTCTGTCCACAGAGCTCTCATCTGCCCACCGCCGCCCTGTCTGCGACAGAAGCCCTGATGCTCTGACGTTGCTGAGTTCTGCCTGCCTCCCAGGCCTAGGGCTGCTGCCCTTCTTAGGACTAGGCCCCTTAACACTCCTCTCCCTCTTTCAGTGAAGGATTTTACTGGGATGGCGAGCCCATCTTCCCACATCCTCCTGAGAATGGCTGGTACCCTTCCATGCAATTCCCCGTCACTTGGGAAAGACTCCAATCCTTTGTTGATGCCGTGTTGTACAGTGTGTGGGAACGAGCCGCCTGGTTCCGGACACCACACCTCCTCTGGCCCTGGGTAAGTTGGGGGCCCAACCAGGCCCTGGTTCCTCGATCCTGCCCAGGGAGTGCTGCCGTGGGTCCAACCTCAGCACTTGGGCCCACCCGGGACTGGTGCTCAGCGTTAGCCAGGCCAGTGTCCATCCAGGCAGTGGGCCATCCCAGCTCCAGCTCAGTCCTCCTTCCCTGCACCCCGAGTCCTCACCCAGTCTACCAGCTCCTCCCCTCACCCTGGATCACCCCCACAACCTCACCTCCGATGCATCCCCTCCCAGACGCAGGCTCGAGCCTCTCCCCAGTTCTCCCCTCTTTTCCCCTACTCAATGCTGGGAGCAGAGGCCTGGGCCTGAATCCTGGTTCCCGAGTCAGGGGCTGTGAGACGTGGGATCCTCTGGGCCTCACTTTCCTCATCTGTGAAATGGGGATGATGACAGGACCTGCTCCATAGGCTGGATTTGAGGTCAAGTGGGAATGACACCCCCGGGGGACAGTGCCCAACACCCAGTCACCATTGTGGTCACAGCCAAACTGGATGGAGCACCCCTGCTCTACGTGATGTATGTGTCTCCCCCATTTTCTCTGCCCCACTGGGCACAGGGGCAGGCCCTATTGGGTCCAGTCTACTCATAAGGGACCGAGAGCCAGAGAGGTTAAGGAATCTTCCTGACGCCACATAGGTACTTAGCAGGGCAGCTAAGAAAGTGGAATTTGTGCTCAGAGCCGTCAGAAAAGCTACACAGCCTGTTTTCTTTGCTTACAACTGCCTCTTTTGGCTGGGGGGATTTAGATGATTTTTAATATATGAGTGTGTGTGTGTGTGTGTGTGTGTGTGTGTATGTGAGTCACTCAGTTGTGCCCAATTCTTTGTGATTCTGTGTACTGTAGCCCTCTAAGCTCCTCTGTCCATGGGATTCTCTAGGCAAGAATAGTGTAGTGGTTTGCCATTTCCTACTCCAGTATATATGAGCAGATATTAATAATTTTTTAACCAAAAATTCTATATATTAGGAAACAGGCAAACTCATATGACAACTTAAATAAAAATATATTAATTTATGGCAGCTTGACAGGCATATATGTAGGCAGTAAAAAAAAAGAAATGTTTACTGTCTCAAGAATTATGTGTATGTATGCATATATTATATATGTATTGTAATATGATCACCACAAAGATCTCATTAATATTTGTCACCACAAATAGTTACACAATTTTTTCCTGTGATGCAAATTTTAAGATTTACTTTTTAACAACTTTCAAATAAACAATAGAGTATTTTTCACCACAGCCACCATTCTGTACACTGCAACCTTACAACTTTCTAATTATGTAGATGGAAATTTGCACCTTACGGCCTCCATCACGCATCCACCCCACCCTCCTGTTTTTGGCGTCCACCAATTTGTTCTCTCTGTACATGAACCCATTTTTCACATTTTTTCTCTTTTCCTTTAATTCACATATGCATGACACCATACAGTATTTCATCTTTCTCTGTCTGACTGTTTCCCTGAGCATAATGCCCTCAAGTTTCCACCCATGCTGTTGTAAATGGCAAGATTTCCTCTTTTGATGGTGAATAACACTATGTACATATATCACATTTTCTTGATCTGATCATCCATTAATGATTGGTTGATTCCATGCCTTGACTTTTATAAATAATGCTGCAGTGAACACGAGGATACAAAAGTCTTTTCAAAATAGTATTTTTGTTGCCTTTGAATAAGTGTGAAGAAAGGGGATGGCTGGATCAGCTCTATTATTAATTTTGAGAGGAATCTCCATACTGTTTTCATCATGGCTGGGCCAAGTTACATTAAAGCCAACAGTGCATGAATGTCTCCTTTTCTCCTTATCCTGACATACATTAGCTGTTTCTTTTCTCATAAACAAAAGCTGTTCTAATAGTTGTGAGGCTGTACCTCTGTCTGGTGTGATTTGTTCAGCATCTTTTTCCATGTGTTCTCATCTCCATGTCTTCCTTGGACAAATGTCTTTTCAAGACCTCTGTCCATTTTTTACCTGGCTTGTTTGCATTATTACTACTGATTTGTATGTGCTCTTTATATATTTTAGATATTAACCCTTTTCAGATTTATGACTTGCAAATACTTTGTTTCATTTCATAGGTTGTCTTTATTTATGAAGTTTCTTTGCTATCCAGAAGCTTTTAGTTTGATGTAGTCTACTTGTTGATTGTTCTTGTTTATCCCTTTCCACATGGTGTAAATACAAAAACTCATCATCAAGACCAATGATGAGGAATTTACTGCATACATTTTCTTCTGGAAGTTTTATAGTTCCACATATCCTACTCTTTGTGAGCCCTTGGACTATAAAGTCCATGGAATTCTCCAGACCAGACTACTGGAGTGGGTAGCTGTTCCCTTCTCCATGGGATCTTCCCAACCCAGGGATCGAACCCAGGTCTTCTGCATTGTGGGCGGATTCTTTACCAGCTGAACCACAAGGGAAGACCAAGAATAGTGAAGTGGGCAGCCTATCCCTTCTCCAGCGGATCTTCCCTACCCAGGAATTGAACTGGAGTCTCCTGCAGTTCAAGTGGGTTCTTTACCAGCTGAGCTACCAGGGGAGCCCTTATAGTTCCAGAAGTTACAATCAAGTCTTTGCTTAACCTGACTTACTATTTGAGTACAGTGTCAGGCAGTGGTCCAACCTCATTCTACACATGAGTATGTTCAGTTTTCACAAGACCACTTTTGGTAGAAGATGTCCTTTCCCCAGTTTATATTCTCACCCTTTTGCCTTTTCTGTATGGTGATATAATTACCATATACACATGGCTTTGTTTCTGAGCTCTCTACTCTATCCCATTGATCTATCTGTATCTTTTATTGTCGGTACCAGATTATTTGGCTTGCTGTGACTTTGCAGTGAAGTCTGAAATCAGGGTGCATGATGCTTCTAGTTTTGTTCTTCTCACTAAAGATTGCTCTGACCACTCAGAGTCTTCTGTGATTCTCACAAATTTTAGGATTGGGTGTTCTATTTCTGTGAAAACGTCTTTGGGGATTTACTAGGTTTTGCATTGAATCTGTAGATTGCTTTGGGAAAGGAGGTCCTCCTCTTGCAGTCATGAGCACAGAGTATTTTCCCACTTACTTCTGTCTTCCTCCATTTCTCTCGTCACTGTGTCGTCTAGTTTTTAGTGGGCAGGGCTGTCACCTGCTCCATGAAATGTATTCTTAGGTATTTTACCTTTTTGATGTAACTATAAATAGTACTGTTTCCTTCATTTCTCTTTCTGCTGATTTGTTATTAGTGTGTGGAAACACTAATCAGCAGGTGATTATGTGTGTTGATACTTTTATCTTGCAACTTTACTGCTGTTATTCATTTAAGATTTGTCTTTAGGGTTTTATATGATCTCTATTTCTATAACGCCATTACAATTGACATTAGTGAGAGCTTTACTGCTTCTGTTCCAATTACCAAGTCTTTCCTTTCCTATTTGTTGCACTCTATGCTGTATAATACCATGTTAAATAAGTGGTGAGTGGCATCACCCTTGTCTTTTTCCTGATCTCACAGGAATAGGTTTTATCTTTTCATCCTTGAATTGATGTCAGTTGTCAGCTCTCATATACGATCTCTCCTATGTTGACATACTTTCCATCCACTTCTTTGATGAGAATTTTTTTATCATAAATGGTAGATGAATTATGTCATATGCTTTTTTTGCATCTGTTGAGATGATCATACAATTTTTATCTTGCATTTTCTTAGTGTGTTGTAGTACATGGATTGATTTGAGGATGTTGAAAAATCCTTGCATTCCTGGAATAAATCCTGCTTGAAGATGGTGTAATATTGTCTTCATGTATTTAAATTTGTTTTGCTAATGTGTTGTTGAGAATTTTTGTGTCTACGTTCCGAGGAGATATTGAGGCTTCTTTGCCTAGTTTCATGTCAGGGTGATCTCGGCCTTGTATTTGACTAAGAAATTATATTGAAACTTTTCTGTCCAATTCTAGTTTATGGGACAGACTAGACTAACAAGAATTTGTATCAGTTCCTCTTCAATAGTTGATAGAAATCACCACTGAAAGTTGATCATTGGTTTCTTGAGAGGTATTTGAATCCTGGTTCAATTTTGTTACTAGTAATCGATTGTTCATTCTATTTACGCACAATTTAGATTATATATTTTCAAGAATTTATCAGTTTTTATACTTTGATATCTTTCAGAGGATGTAATTAAGGTCAGTAAATTCAAGTAAGACATTGTCCTTTTTATTCATGTTTAGTCTCTTATCATAATTAAGGTTATTAATATCTAGTAATGTGCTGGGGTTTAAGAAATAGTCAAGAAGTGAAGTCAATCAGACACAGAAAAACAAAACCTGAATCATCTCTATTGTGGAATTTTACAAAACCAGTCTCCTAGAGAAGGAGATCAGATGTTTGGTGGCCAAAGGTGGGACTGGCGAGTGTGGAGAAGTGGGGGACTGTTTGGAGCGGGCACAAACCTGCAGCTGTCAGACCAGCCGGCGCTGGGGAACCACCTGAACCGGACAGAGAGGAGGACGCGCACAGCACAGGCCCGGGGCCGTGCCCGCCGCGGGGGGCGGGGGGTGGTCCTGGGGAGAAGAGGGCCCTCCCCGTGCAGGCCGGGCTCTGCACCCAGAGGCGCAGGGCGTTGCTTCTGTCCCCCGGCTGCAGGGCTGTGACAGGCAGTTCTTCAACGCCTCGCTGCAGTTCACCAACATGGACCGTGTCATGGAGGAGGTCAACAAGTTCACCTACAAGCACGGCGTCTCGATGGAGTACGCCACGCTGGGCAGCTACTTCCGGGCTGTGCACGCGCACCAGCTCTCCTGGCCGGTCCGAGACCAGCGAGACTTCCTGCCCTATTCCTCGGGTAGGAGCCTCTGGGTGGAGGGATTCGGCGCCAGGGAGGAAAGCGGCCCCCAAACGCGGCGCCTGCTCAGGCCTCTGCTTGGAGCCTGCTCGGGGCCCTGGGGGAGCTGCAGGACCCGACCCTCCTGCCTGACCCCCCCACACTCTGCGGGATTCCGGGCTCCCAGAGCCTCTCAGGCTGGCCACATGCAGCCTTCTACTCCAGTGCTGCCGGAAGGACTGCCCCGCGCCCACCTTCTCTTTCTGCAAAGTCCAGATTGTCCTGGAGTGTCGCCTCCTCTCATCCCCAGGTGGTGCTTGTGGTAAAGAACCCACCTGCAGGAGACACAGGGGATGGCGGGTTGGATCCCTGGGTAGGGAAGATCCCTCAGAGGAGGAAATGGCAAGCCACTCCAGGATTCTTGCCTGGGAAATCCCATGGACAGAGGAGCCTGGCAGGTTACAGTCTGTGGGGTGGCAAAGCTGGACATGACTGAGCATGCATGCATGCATGTCACCTCCTCCAGGAAGCCTTTCCTGATCTGAAGTCTAGACTGGTTGTCTCCTCTCCCCCTCAGTGCCCCACTTTTCACCCGTTGCCACAGTGTCATTATTGGGGGCCCTTGTCTCCCACAAGGCTGTGTCCTGGAGGCCAGGATGGTTTTGGATGTGGCCGGCACAGCCTCAGGGTGAAAGGTCGTGGAGTGAGCCTTGTGCCGGGTTGTGTGCACCCGTGGAACTGTCCTGGGTCAGGAAAGTGGGGGTGTTCATCTTGGTTAGAGCATCCAGTGTGAAAATGAAGTGAGATGAGGCGAGCCCATAGCCTAGTGCCTGGGCCAGAGCCAGGGCTCAGCAGAGGCAGCTGTTGACAGTTACAGCAGCATCTCCATCTCGGGAGGCCAGGTGCCATCCTGGATACGGTGTGGGCACTCCGTGTGAGGAAGCTAGTCCAGGGCCTGATTGCCCTGAAGGAAGCCCAGCATCAGCGCCTCTTCCAGGTCCAGCCCCACCCACCTCCAAGCGGACCCCCGTAGAAGATCCAGCTCCCCTATCTGCAAGCCAGACAGGAATTATGCACACACAGCCTCCCCCTGACAGCTGGGGAGGCAGAAACACCCTCCACACCCCAGTCCAGCCTTGCTCAGGGCATCCGCAGGGGAAGGTATTGGCCAAATTATCGAACTTCTGAAACCCTTACTGCATACAATGCCAGAATCCTTGGAGGATCCTTGTGGTCCTGCTCCTCTCTTTTAAAAAAATGAGGAGCTAAGGGGTATGAAGAAAGCTGAGGACCGAAGAATTGATGCTTTTGAACTGTGGGGTTGGAGAAGACTCTTGAGAGTCCCTTGGACTGCAAGGAGGTCCAACCAGTCCACCCTAAAGGAGATCAGTCCTGAGAGTCCATTGGACGGACTGATGCTGAAGCTGAAACTCCAATACTTTAGCCACCTCATGGGAAGAGTTGACTCATTGCAAAAGACCTTGATGCTGGGAGGGATTGGGGGCAGGAGGAGAAGGGGACAACAGAGGATGAGATAGCTGGATGGCATCACCGACTCGATGGGCATGAGTTTGAGTAAACTCCGGGAGTTGGTAACAGACAGGGAGGCCTAGCGTGCTGCAATTCATGGGGTTGCAGCGTTGGACACAACTGAGTGACTGAACTGAACTGACTGAAGGGGTATGGGTGTGGAGGGGAGACTGTAGCCAGGGCCCCATGAGCCAGAGCAGCCCAGGGACCCTGATCAGGCCCTACCTCCCAGCCAGGTTTGCCCAGCCCTAGGTCCACGGTGGGATCACTCAGCAGGAGAGGTCGTTTTAGAAGGGAGAGGTGAGGTATATGTCTGTCCCCACGGGCAGTTAGGAGACCCAGGCTCCTAGCAGCATCCAGGGGCTGAACACCCCCCAGGAGATCCGGGTGCCTGAGCTATGCCTGTCCGGGGCCTGTCCCCTCCCCGCCCTCACCATTCAGCAGGCTCGGTGTCTCAGCAAGGCTGGCCCCAGGCGGTGTCTCAGGTGCTCACCTGGGTTGAGATCACAGCTCCTGCCGCCAAGGGCTGGGTGGCTTTGGGTAAGTGATGTCACCGCTCTGAGGCTTGGTTCTGTCATCTGTGATATGGATTCTAGGAGGACTGGAGGGACTCCCACAAGGCAGTTCAAATACAACCACTTCCCTTCTCATTTCCTTCCCTTCCGAAGAGACAGCAGGGTGGGCCCCCAGCTGCAGGGCTGGATCCGGGCTGGGTGCCACCCTGACTGCCCCAGACCTGGATTTGCAGTGCCTCTCCTGCCTTGGTCTTCTGCCTGAGTGGTGAGAAAGAGGAGCTACATACCTCTCAGGACACTTGCCTTGGGACCTCATCAGACTTGGGGAGGGCTGGCTCCTGGAGTAGTTGAGAACCTACAAGAAAGTGAGCAGGGTTCCAATTGAGGTGGGTATGACACTGCCCTGTGGGCGTGGTCACACAGGAGGTGGGAGGGGATAAGGGTGTGGGCGGGGTTCCAATTGAGGTTGGTGTGGACACAGCTGGGTGGGCGTGGTCACTGATGGGTGGGCGTGGTCACACTTGAGGTGGGAGGGGATAGAGGATGTGGGCGTGGTTACCAGGAGGCAGGAAGGAGTGTCTGGTCTGGGTGGGAGGGTATGCTGAAAGGTCCAGTGAAATGCGAAGTGGGTGTGGCCACTTAACCTTCCCCTGGAGAGGCACCATTTAATCAGAGACTGAAGTTCGAGAAGGCTTGGTCCTGATCTGAGTGCAGGGGGATCTATGTAGCTTTGTCTAGTTGGGTCCGTGCTTGGAGGTGAGGCTGGGGTCCCCGGTGCCTGATCTCTGTGCTCAGCTTCCGGGAGGAGCTGTGGAGGGCCCCTGCGTCTGACCCCTCAGGATGTAGCCTTTCCCCAGTCCTCGCGGCTTCCCTTCCCAGTCGAGCCAAGGTCCTCTGAGGGAAGAACCTAGAATGGAGGCACAACCCAGCCTGGGGAGGAGGCAGGAGGAGGGAACCGCCGGGAACCCTGAGCCACCCGCTGAGACACATCCCAGCCCCGAGGTGCGCAGACTCTTGCCCCTTCCACCAGCCTCACACTCTTGGTCCAGGGTCAGGACAGTGGCTCCAGAGCTCTCACAGCTCCCAACCCCTGCCATCCTTCCCTGCTGAGCATCCAGAGAGAACTGCTGAAATGCACGCCTTCCAGGAACCACCTTCTCTCCAGAGGCACACAGGGGCTGCCAGCAGTCCAGCCCTTCCCCTCCGGGTCCTGCCCCCGGCCCTCATCCGCCTCCTAACCCCCCTGCGGTGCTCAGGGCCTTCCCCCCAGGCCGCGCCAAGGCTTGAGGTGCACAGCGAATTCTTGTCATCACAGGCCTTCAGCACTCAGGCTCGCCAGGCCTGCCCCAGCCCAGCCTGGCCCTGCCAGCTGCCCAGGCCTTCCAGGGATCTCGTACCACTGCTGACCTGGCTGGACCAGGAACCCTGAGTTGAAAAAGCTGGCTTACAACTCAACATTCAGAAACGAAGATCATGGCATCTGGTCCCATCACTTCATGACCAATAGATGGGGAAAAATGAAAACAGTGGAAGACTATTTTTTCGGGCTCCAAAATCACTGCAGATGGTGAGTGCAGCCATGAAATTAAAAGACCCTTGCTTCTTGGAAGAAAAGCCTTGACAAACCTAGGCAGAGTATTAAAAAGCAGAGATATCACTTTGCTGACAATGGTTCATGCAATCAAAGCTGTGATCTTTCCAGTAGTCATGTATGGATATGAGAACTGGACCATAAAGAAGGCAGAGAGCTGAGGAATTGATGCTTTTGAACTATGGTGCTGAAGAAAACTCTTGAGATTCCCTTGGACTCAAGAAGATCAAACCAGTCAATCCTAAAAGGTAGCAGCCCTGAATACTCTTTGGAAGAACTGATTCTGAAGCTGAAACTCCAATAGTCTGTCTACTTGATGTGAAGAGCTGACTCATTGGAAAAGAACCTGATACTGAGAAAGACTGAGGGCAGGAGGAGAAGAGGATGACAGGGGATGAGATGGTTGGATGGCATCATCAACTCAATGGACATGAGTTTGAGCAAGCTCTCGGAGATGGTGAGAGATGGGGAAGACTGGAATGCTGCAGTCCATGGGGTCTCAAAGAGTCACACACTATTGAGCGACTTAACAGGAGTCACACACCCTGAAAGCTGAAACTGTTACTGTCCTCACTTCATAGCTGAGGACACATGCACAACACACAGGTCCTGGACCTGCCCAGGGTCACACAGGTCACACAGACTGCTTAAGTCTAGCTTGAAAGCCTAGCACCTTAGCCAGGTGCTCCCCAGCTCTGCAGACAGCATGCAGTTTTCTCAGGGACCTTGGCCAGCCTGACTCCTGCCCTCCCTCCTGAGCTCAGCTTGGAGGCACATCACATCTCGGCTGCCACGTGACCAGCTTCTTGTCTATGAGGGTTTCACAGGTGGAGAGTCAGTATCACCCCGTTTGCCTGGAGCTGACGGGCTTCATCCTTGAAAATCCTGGGCAAACAGAGACAACTGTTCTCCCTGCAGGAGCATGTGACCTGCCCACCTTCCCAGGGCCCATACTCACCCTCTGGCACTGTGCCCTCCCCGCTCCGCCCTCCCCTGCCCTCCCCAGCTCTGACCTCCGATCTGCGTCTGTGTACAGTCCCATCCTACCTCAGACTCTGGAAGGGCCCTGGGGTCAGGGGTGCAGCAGACTGGAATCCTGTCTACGGGGACTGCAGTCAGCAGGGGATAACGGTCATAGAAAGGGAGGTAGAACTGGGTCCGTCCAGTGTCTTGTAGGACCAGCCATTCCCATGAGCTCATGGGTGCAGCTCCCCAAGCAAGGGGCAGGTGGAGGGCCCAGGAAGGCATCCAGCCATGGGAACTGCCTGGGCAGAAGCCAGAGACTGGACAGTGTGTGCCGTGTCCAGGGATCCGGGAGTCATCAGACGTGGTCATAGCCTGGGGCACGTGGGGTGGGGAAGGAGCGGAAAGAGAATCCAGGTTCATACCAAAGGGCCTCCGGGGCTGACCTTGGTGGTTGACCTTGACCCTCCAAGCTCCAGATAATTCTGTCTGTATATTGCCAAGCGCTCAAGCTTTGGAGTCAGGCCTTAGGACATGGGTCACCTTGGACAGCTGACCCTTCTCTCTGCACCTAAGTGTCCTCACCAGTAAAGTGGGCTGACAGCGAGAGATGAATGAGGAGCTCAAGGACCCTTATCTCTAGGGGCATGCTCCCCAACCCCGCCTGGGAACCAGGACCCAGCTTGAACAGATGAGGAGGGGTTTGGATGCCAGAGCCCATGTGTCTGTCTGTCTGTCCTTCCCCCTGGACTCTGAGGGCTGGTCTCACCTGCCTCAGTTTCCCTTGTTCCAAGGGGCACCAGGGGTGAGGGGTGGGTCAGGTCCAGCAGTAGAGCCTGTTCTCTGTCTGCAGGCCCAGAGCCTGGGGGACGCTTTGCGATGGTCTACAACCCGCTGGCCTGGACAGTCACCACCATCATCACCCTGACTGTGGACTTCCCCAGGGTCAGCGTCACAGACGAGTCAGGCCGCCCCGTGCCTGCACAGGTAAGGGGGACATCCCATCCATGGTGCATGCCCCGTGGCTGCCCCTGCTCTGGGCTGGGCCCCCAGAAGTGGGCATCCAAAGGGAACATGTGACAGGCTGCCCTCACTGTGAGGACAGTGTCATAGGGGTGAGTCACCATCAGGGTCATTGGATCCACCCAGGGGCCTGACCCTGGGCTTTGGGCATCTGAGTTGACCAGAAGTCCCTTCTGCTGTGCTTACCCTTCAAGGTCTCACAGTGGTCTAGGTTATATGGGGAGCATATATATTCTCAGGAAAATATCCACTCTGCATGAGCAGTCCATCCGGAGTCCTAAATGTGCATCCTTATGGAGGTGTTGTGTTATGGGCAGGGCCCAGCTGCCTCTCTGAGACACCCATATCCTGTGTGGTCCCTCCCCATGGCCTTCCCAGACCTGGAGCTTGACTTGGGTCTAGAGGTGACCCTACTGTCACCCAGCCAGCCCTTCCTGGAGGAGGTGGAGGAGGTGATGCCATCAGTCAGCCACTCAGCAAACACTCCTGAATGTCTGGTCCGGTGTGGCCCCTAGCTGAGTGCTTGTCCCTGACACTGAAGTCCCCATGGAACTCAAGGATCAGACACAGATGTGGACAGCTGAAGTGTGGAGTGGTGACCTGTTGGCCGGGGCAGTAGTCCTCAACTGAGACAGAGGAGGAAGACTCTCCTGTTGTGGTCAGGGGCGGCGAGGGGGTTGGGTTGAGCAGACCCAACACAAAGCATCCCCCTCCCCACCCAAAGGCAGCACTCCCTAAGTGTCAATGCACTTCAATATTATTGAACACCTACTGTGTGTCAGGCACTACTCTAGGCACTGGAGAAACTTTAGTAACCAAGTAGACAAAAGCCCCTGCCCTCAGGGGGCTCCTATTCCAGTGGGGGGATCCAGGCAGGAAGAAAATAAGAAAGTGTAGAAAGTGACAGATGATAACTGTGGTGAAGGAAAACCTTCAGGAGAGGTTTGGGGTGTGGGGTGGGGACAGGGTGTCTGCTAGTTCAGAGAAAGGCCAGGCTGGAGGCTGTAAGAAGCAACATGAATTTGCTCATAGCTCCCTAAATCCTCCCCCACAGGACCCAGAAATGACATCTGTTCCCTAGAGAGTGAGCCCCATCCCCCACTCCTCACATGGATTCAGGGTCATCTCTCAGTTCCCTTGCCTGAATCAGATGACGTGGAGATGAAGAAAGACCTGCAGGGGTGACCTTGCAACCTCCCTACTCGGGGAAATTGGAGGATTAAGACACAAGAGCCCACTCTCCAAAGACGAGGCTTCCAGGTTGAGGGAACAGCATGAGCAAAGGCTCAGAGCCTGGAACAGGAGGGAGTGTGGGAGGAGGGCAGGCGGTTTGCAGCCCTGGTGGAGAAGGAGGAAGGGTGGGGAAGAGGACTGATTCTGTTGTGCAGAGAGGATGCAGGAGAGGAAACCAGCTCAGCCCAGTGATGGATGAGCCAGCTGTCTCTGTGCAGAGCAAGCACTCCATCCACCAGGGGCGTAAGCCCAGGGTTTCCAAGGAGACTGAGGCATCTTCCATTCCTGACATCCATCATTCATCTTGTCCCTCAGGCCTTCCAGGCCCAAAGATCAAAGGAGGTGCCCTCTGCCTATGACCTGCACGTGCTGACCACGATCCCAGGACTCAGTTACCGGCACTACAGCATCCAGCCCAGCAGGAGGCCCCAGGAGGGCACTCTGGAGCCTGTGACCTCCTTGGCCAGCTCCAGGCAGTTTGGACGCAGACTCAGGAGAAGTGGCGGGCCGGCGGGCGGGAGCCTGGTGCCTGTGGAGAATGACTGCTACACCGTGTTCCTAGACAAGGACACCAACTTGATGCACAGCATCTGGGAGAGGTGAGGTGCAGCTGTTGCTGCCTCTGAGGTCAGGAGGACCCTGGGACCTAGGCAAGTAATGCCCTTTCTGGGTCTCCATTTCCTCAGCTTCAGGGTGAGGGTGTGATTGTGGTGAAGCTCCCTACAGTGCAGTCAGGTTTATGTCTAGTTGTGGGAATCTAGGCCAGATCCATACAGCCTTTCTTGAATTTGTTCATTCCAAAGATTTTGATTCATGGAAAACGGGGCATTGCAGATCACATCTTGGGAATAGGTAATAGTCATGTTATCTACTTTTTAATATTCAGAGCCACAAAAATCCATCTATTCACCCATACTCCTATCCATCTATGCACTCACTCACCCACTCATCTATGCACCTAACCCTCCACATTTCCATCCATCATGCATCAATGCATCCATCCATCCACTCATCCATCCATTCATCCTTCCATCATATTCATTCATTCATTCCTTCATTCATCCATCCATCCTTCCATCCATCCATCCATTCATCCATTCAAGTATTTATTCACTCACCAGCATTCTTTGGCAGCTGAGCCCAGGAAAGGCTCCCCAGAGTTTGAAGCCACCCTGTACATGCTCAGGTCTCATCCCAGGCAGTTTCTATTCCTCTTCAGCTTCTTGTCCAACACATCCACTTCTGTTTCCTGATGTGATCTCCTAACAGAAGCAGAAGTCTGTGGGTGGCGGGAGTGGGTGGGAAGCTTGGGGGAGCATCTGGAAGAAAGTGAGGTAAGGAAAGAGAAGGAAGAGGCAGACAGAGAAGGGGAGGAGGGCAGGGTGCAATGCTGTGAGGTGAGTGTCACCTGGGGCTCAGCCTGTCCTCTGTCAGCAGTCTAAAAGAACAGAGCAGGACCCCCCTGCCCCTGATGGGGCTTGGTCCTCCAGTCAGCCCACAAGTCCTTCTTGAGAGGGCATGAAACACAGAGGCAGGACAGACTACAGAGAGTGTGGGGCAACAGCAGAAATAGGGTGTCACTCCAGCAGGTTCTGAGTGCCCCCCGCCCTGGTGTCTGGCCGGGAAAGGTGGAGTCTGCAGGCCAGCTTGAGCTCTGTCATCACTCGGGCCCCATGCCCCTTTTGCAGAACCCCTGAAAGGCCAGCTCCAACTCCCAACCCCTTTCTGCCCACCTTCAGATGCCTCACATCTAAGCCACAACCCCACACATTGCCTCCCAGGAGGAGAACTCATGTCCTGCTGTCTATCTTCCTGACTTTTCCAAGTTTCATCCACACTGCAGTGTGAGTGAAATTATTTCTCTTCAGGGCCCAATAATATGCCTCTGACAGATATCCCTTGGTTCATTTATCTAGTCCTCATCTCATGAGCATGTGGGTGGTTTCCACTCTGGGGCTATGGTGAAAAAGGCTGCTGTGAAAATGAATGTACAAGATTTTGTGTGGACAAAAGCTTTCCTTTCTCTTGGGTTAGTTCCTAGGAGTGGAATTACTAGGTCACAGGAAACTCTTATGTTAAGCTCTTTGTGAAATGGCTGGACTGTTTCCCATGTGACTGCACCATTTTGCATTCTTATCCAAGTGTATGAGGGTCCAATTTCTCCACATCTCCACCTACACTTGTATTTATCTGCCTTTTGGATATAGCTATTCTAGTGGATACGTTGTGGCATCTCACTGTGACTTTGATTTGCATACCCCGAGAACTACAGACTTTGAGCATCTCTCCACGGGCCTGTTAGCCATTTGTGCATCTTCTCTGGTGAAATGTCTTTTTAGATCTTTTGCCCATCTCAAAATTGGGTTGGTCTTTATTATGGAGTTGTAAGAGTTCTTTCTACTTAGGAAGAATTACTGCAAACAAAGCTGGTGGAGGTAATGGAAATCCAGTTGAGCTATTTCAAATCCTAAAAGATGATACTGATTAAGTCCTGCACTCAATATGTCAGCAAAATTGGAAAATTCAGTAGTGGCCACGGAACTGGGAAAGGTCAGTTTTCCTTCCAGTCTCAAAGAACGGCAATGCCAAAGAATGTTCCAGCTACCGTACAACTGTGCTCATTTCACAAACAATTCCTTTTGCTGGTGCAAAAGTATTTGCGGTTTCAGACCGTGGATTTTAAATCCTGATGTGTGTGCATGTGTGCCAAATCACATCAGTCATGTCCAACGCTTTTTGGCCCTGTGGATAATAGCCCACCAGGCTCCCTGTCCATGGGGTTCTTCTGGCAAGAATACTGGAGTAGGTTGCCGTGCCCTCCTCCATGTGATCTTCCCAACCCAGAACTCTAACCCACAAGGCTTACATCTCCTGCATTGGCAGGAGGGTTCTTTGCCTGTAGTGCCACCTGGGAAGCTTGTTAAATCATTATAACTAGGCTCAAATACACCTTTATTAATCAAAATAGGAACCATTACAGTTAACACATTTTTGCCAATGAGAAAACCGACCCAGGGATCAAACCTGGGTCTCCTGCATTGTAGGCAGATGCTTTACCATCTAAGCCACCAGGGAAGTCCAATATATATCAAAGCTATGCTTTTTCCAGTGGTCACGTATGGATGTGAGAGCTGGAATATAAAGAAGGCTGAGCATCAAAGAGTTGATGCTTTTGAACTGTGGTGTTGGAGAAGGCTCTTGAGAGTCCCTTGGACTGCAAGGAGATCAAAGCAGTTCATCCTAAGGGAAATCAACCCTGAATATTCATTGGAAGGACTGATGCTAAAGCTGAAGCTCCAATACTTTGGCCACCTGATGCGAAGAACCAACTCTTTGGAAAAGACCCTGATGCTGGGAAAGACTGAAGGCAAAAGGAGAATGGTGTGACAGAGGATGAGTTGCTCGGATAGCACCACTGACTCAATGGACATAAATCTGAACAAACTCTGGGAGATAGCGGAATACAAGGGAACCTAGTTTGCTGCAGTCCATGGGGTCACAAAGAGTTAGACCTGACTCATTGACTGAACAACAACAATAATAAGAGTTATTTCTATTTTCTAGATACACGTCCATCATCAGGTGCATGATTTGTGAATGTCTCCCATAGTGGTGTTTGACTTGCAAGTTTCAACATGGCACTGCGAGGAACTCTTATGAAAGGAAGCTAGGGGCAGGAGCCTGGGGTCAGATGAGAAAGGCTTGGGTTCCAGACTAATGAAAAGGGTTCTTTTCCTCCTCTCCTCTTCTAAGGAGCTCAGGAGCGCATTCCTCCAAGACCTCTTCTTTCCTTGGCCACAAGAACCCTACAGAAATTCACAAAGGGGCACAGACATGTCACTTCTTCAACCCCTGCTCTCAGACAGGGCCAGCTGGGATACAAATGCATAGCTGTGCCTTTGTTTAGGCCACACCCAGGGGGACAGTGCAAACCCATGTGTGCAAGGCTCTGAGCCAATTCCTCCTTTATCCCCAGTGTATCCACACCTCCAGTCCTAACCTAAGGGGGTGAGAGTGGAGTCTGTGTTTGGAACTGAACCTGAGTCCTCCTTGGCACTTCCTGCGTGTGGGATCTCAGGAAATGAGGTTGTATCTCCCAGTGCACTATGCCTCCGTCCTGAGATGGGTTCATAATCCATGCCTGTGGGGGTCCAGAGAAAAGGATGAAGGTTAAGTGAAGGCCCTGGCAAGTGACATGGGGACAGCACCAGAGTGACAGACTTCCACAATGTCCTGGCTTGATGAACTCCTGAGGGAGTAGATATCCCCCTGCTGGCATCTAGGATAATGGGGCCAGGCCAGTGAAGGCACAGCCTCTGCAGACATGATACACTCTCTGCTTGTATCCTCAGGAGCCTGCACCGAAGCCTGTGTGCCCTCCTCGGTGGGATCCGCTCCTGGACACAGATAGGGTCTGATGCCGCGTGGGCTCTGGTGGGTCCAGCCAGCTCTCCTCCGAGCCAAGTGCGTGAACTTCACTCAGTGCCCTCATAGCTGTCACTGAAGAGCCGAGGAGGTTGTTTGTGTCCACCCCTGGTTCCAGGCTGGCATCTCCATAGAGGCTCTGTGAGCCTGCTTCTAGCATAAGGATGACACATTGTCCAAGATGATGACGCTGTTTTCTCCTTCCTTTCTGTGCAGGTGGAGTAACCAAACAGTCCAGGTGACCCAGACTTTCATGGAATATCACGCGAAGAGTGATTTTGATCAAGGCCCCATTTCAGACAATTATGTGTTTAGACCCAGTGGTAGAGCAAAGCCCGCGTGGGAGGCTGTGAGGATGGAGATCGTGGCAGGGCCGCTGGTGACTGAGATCCGGCAGGACTTCTACAGGTGAGGGCGGCCCCCTGGCTGTGCTCAGCATGTGGAGGTGCTCACAGGCAGGTGACTGAGGCAATGGGGGCCCATCCTTGCTTCAGACACCCAGGCCCTGGACCTGGGCTTGGTGCACGGTCCTTCCTCCAAAGCCCCATGACATCATGAGCTGCTCCAGTCTCTGCAGGCCTGCTCTCTGGCCTGCGCTGTGTCACCTTGGGGGCACCTGAGTCCAGAGGTGGGACAGGAGACCACGGTGACAGTGACCAGCACGAGAGCAGTTCTTGTGTTTCCATCAGCAGGACAGACAGAGCCGCCAGGCGTGGCTGGGTACCCAGAGTCTTCAGAGGACAGGGTCCCTCCTGTTCTCTATTCCAAGAAGGCTCCCCATTCCCCTGGCTGCAGGAAGGATGGATGGAGGGAGATGGAAGGAGACGAAAGAAGAAAAGTGAAGGGCGGGGCGTCCAGAAGGCTCCC